TATGTTAGAGAGCATAGATCTTTTTGGCAATCAATTGAGTGGGAGTATTCCAGATAGCATCGGGCAACTTTCTATGTTAGAGAGCATAGATCTTTCTGGCAATCAATTGAGTGGGAGTATTCCGGATAACATCGAGCAACTTTCTAAGTTAGTGAGCATATATCTTTATGACAATCAATTGAGTGGAAGTATTCCAGATAGCATCGGGCAACTTTCTAAGGTAAAGAGCATAAATCTTTCTGGCAATCAATTGAATGGGAGTATTCCAGATAGTATATGGCAACTTTCTAAGTTAGTGAACATATCTCTTTCTGGTAATCGATTGAGTGGGAGTATTCCAACTAGCATTAGACAACTTTCTAAGTTAAGGGGAATATATCTTTCTGGCAATCGATTGAGTGGAAGTATTCCAGCTAGCATCGGGCAACTTCCTAGTTTAGAGATAATGGATCTTTCTAACAATGAATTTGGAACAAGATTTCATGCATAGCTTCAATTGCAAAAGACAAAAATCATGGTTGATCTCTCTAATGCTAGCATCTTAGGTCTTTTTCCAAAAAACATGTCTTATGATGCTAACATTGCATGGATTGTATCTTGAAAATTACCTCATGAACGATTCAGTTCCAAAGTCACTATGTAATTTAAATTATTTGAGTGAACTTGATCTTTCAAATAATATGTTCTTTGGAAATATTCCATAGTCGCTATGCAATTCAAAATCTTTGGGATTTCTTGATCTCTCTAACAATATGTTATTTGGAAGTATGACTAATTATTGGATAACTAATCAATCATTCTATTATATTGATCTCTCTTTTAACAATTTCTCGGGTTTATTTTCAAGCACAATGGCGTGGCTTTCTTCTTTAATTATACTGCACTTGAACAATAACAGTCTTCATAAGGGACTGCATGTGGCCTTCAAAAACTTCACTTGATTAGTGATTTTAGATTTGGGCAAAAATAAATTTTCTGGAAATTTAACAAGCATTGTAGTAGGTCGAAATCGGCAGCCACTCTTTAAAGGTTCTCTGACTACAAAAAAAATTTGGTTTTCGATTATATTCCTTTGGAATTGTGCTCTCTCTCTCTCACTTGCAAATTTTGAATCTTGTAGATAACAATTTGACAAGAAAGATTCCTCCTTGTTTTGGAAAGTTTTGGATTATGGTGAATGCAACACAATTGATCCATGACATAGATTATGCATATTGGGATGAGGCCACTTTGATGGAGGTTGTGAAAGGGAGATACCTAGAGTATACAAGAAAAACTTTGAGATTTGAGATTAGTTTAGATCTTTCAAGTAACATTCTAATAGGATCCATACTAGAAGAGCTAAATTTCCTTAAGGATTCGTATAATTTGAATATGTTTTAGAATCATCTCTTAGGAAAGATCCCTGAGAAAATTGAACAAATGGAAAATTTGGAATCTCTCAATTTCTCCAAGAATGGCCTTTTGGGAACAATCCTGAACAACATGTCGAGTTTAACCAAGTTAAGCCACCTCAACTTGTCCTACAACAACTTGTTAGGGCTAATTCCAACAAGTTATCAACTCCAAACACTTGACGATCCAACTATGTATGTAGGCAATCCTCAACTCTATGGAGCTCACGATCCAACTATGTATGCAGGCAATCCTCAACTCTGTGGAGCTCTGCTCCTAAAGAAATGCTCAAATGATGCACTAGCTCTGACAACCGCTAGCTTCAAGGACAATGATAAAACTACACTTAAAAAATGTGATTTTACATTGTTGTGATGTTAGGCTTTGTAATTGGATTCTGAGGAGTCATGGGAACTTTGATTTTTGTGAAAAGTTGAAGATATGCTTATTTTCAAAGGGTGGATGATGTCCAACATTGGATACTTGTGGTTATAACAT